CAGCTGGGTATAGGAAGGCTCACTGCCCTCAACTGGAATCAAGGGGCCTTGACGGTGGCAAAGTGCACTATGGATCTGAAAAGCAGTTAAGCCATCTCTATTGTTATCGTTGTTGCTGTTGCTGCTTTGGCACGATCCTCAGGCGAAACAATATCGCAGCCCAGCGAAGTAAAGGCAAAGGCAGCGTTGTACTGGCGAAGGTTGTCCTTAAAGTGACGGCCTTGAGTGTCCGTACGTTCGAGCAAGTCCTTCAAGTACTCAGGTAGATCAGGTAATAGTTGCAACTGGACTGATCCTTGCTTGCAACATGACTCCCAGCTAGGATATCTCATCGAAGATGTCTCTTGCCTTTCATCAATCCAGTGTAAGGCGTGACAGTGTGAGCATTCCTTGTCCATACGTCCAAGGTCCAAAAGACGAAGGCGAGAAAGCTGCGAGATATAGGCAGCAGGAATAGTCTGAGAAGGTTCTACTCTAGGTCTTCCCCTACGTCTTACTGGGCTGCCTTCCTGCTCTTCTTGTTCAGCTTGACATCTGCGGCGTGATGCTGCAACTCTTTCTCTACACGCTTGGCAGGTGCGATAACGTGAATATTAGAGTGATGTGTTATATATTAGAGTGATGTGTTATGTGTTATGTGTTACGTGTTACTAAGGAGTATAAGGAGTACTATATGCCCACTTGGGTTTAATAAAAAGATTGTTTAACCGTATGAGATAACTTGAGGTAGATTTAGAATATAAAAGACAAAAGACAGTGGTAAACAAGTATTTATGAGAATTCGTTTATTCCTGAGAATTGAGATAATGCCAAATACAATGAAAAAGAGGGCTCTATTTATACTTTTTGATGTGGGTTAAATCAAGGTACGATTTGATTCATTCTGCTACGGTAATGGTTAAAGCTGCGGTGCCTGGTTTATGACAATGATCTGGATGCTTACTAAGTTACTCTAATTGGGTATTCTTATTGTAAAGACTACGCATTGGAATAGTGCTTATAAATCACTTTATATTCCTTATTGACAACGCGCAGACTCTGTCTTTACTTATTATGGAGATTATAATATTTGTTTTGTAACATCGTATACATCTTTGATATCTTACATGAGATTGATCACCTATATCATGAAAAAGAGCCACCATCGCCATCTGACCCAGGTCAGAAACTGCTTAAATGGTTATTTAATTCTTCATAGCAGTGTTTTTAAAACTTGTTCCGTGAATCTGTCAGCCAAAGCATTTTTGCCCTCGAGCCCAGAGGGGTTTTTAGATACTGTCTCACAACTTGAGCTGGCCAAAGCAAAAACGATATAATAAAAATATCACATGCACCTTATGGCCTTTATATTTAACCGTGTATATCTTTGATTATTGATTATTTATTGATTTTCGTCCTTAAAATGATGTTTAGAGAAATACGCTTTTGAATATCAAAATGCGTTTATACATACAAGGAAATATTTATGACTATGTAAAACTAAGCATTATTCTATAGCTTGTTTGTCTTTTTTCGTAATTATTAGTTCAGTTTATAAAAAGCAGATCAGGTTAGGGTATTTGCTTTTTCATTGTGTATATATGTATCAAATCAAAGTATTTTTCTCTTGCTTATACCTTTTTAATAATTTTCCCTTTTTATACTCTAATATTATTTATATGCTCAAGTATAAAGAATAGATTAAAGATGCAACAAGATCAAAGATAAAGAAGGACTTCGAAATACTTGTGCCTGAAAGAAGGTAGTTCCAAAAATAGACTTTTGGACACAAGACATACAGTCACATGCTTGATGACCCTCAGAGAAGTCATCAAGTCTCTCTTTTTTTTTTACTTTTTTATTATATTGAAAGAGGACGCAGCTTTTACAGACTTTCTTAAACGCTTTCCATGTCTGATTTCTTTGGAAGTTTTAGAAAAAAGAAAAACTATGGACATTCTTCTGCAACTTCCCCAAGGTCCTCTATCGATGGACTATCCAGACGGAGTCAAGGACCGTATGAAGGAATAAGTGAAGAGAACATGCCTAGTTCTGATGATCAAATTGAAGAAATGTTTGATCAGATGCTTGTAATCATTACTTATTTTGTGAGAAAAAACAAAAAAGTGTTAATATGTATTCTAGGCACGTAGAGGTCTCGATGAAGACAAGAGAAAACCTTTAAAGTCACAACTGGATGTCAAAACTAAATGGGCCATGATAGTTCAAGATCGTAAAGCAGAATTAACTGTTTCGGGAAGAAGACCAAATACAATTGAGGGTCAAGATGAGCCAGCACCACTTATTCATGTCTTGTCTGATTTAGCGGGCGAGATGTGGTCAGCCACAAAGGATTCAACAGCTCGAGTGGTAGAGCGGCATTCCAACAGATACAGCCATTTAGGTCCTCAACCTTCAATATCTTCCTCAACACACGTTCACTCAACTTCACCGGATGGAATATCTTTAACCGATCGAAACACTCCCGAGTTTTATATCAGAAAGTTTATGGAAGCTGACCTTAGAGCCGTAACACCAGCACTTGCCAATAATTTGGAAGTTAGCTTAAGAACACGCCCTGTAGAGTAAGAGTTATATGTATGGATAACGGATACATGTATCGCTCACAGTGAATTTTTATAGCTGGGTTTTGAAGTTCATAGAGCTTAAAGGTCTCCGTGTGCTTTCCAATGGATTGTCTTTTCTGAATAAGCAACCGGAAAGGTAAAACAAAAAAAAGAAAGATGTATATTGAAAATGTTGGCGTGTTTTAAACTTGATTAATAGAAAAGGGCGAATATTGGAACTAGAGATTGAACTTGTAAAATGTATCAAAGTGTTGGTGAACGCCAGAGTAAGTTTGTAAACAAAAAGGGTAATCCAGTTAAGCTGAAAGATTCCTTCTCTTTTTTTCTGTTGTTGTGATTTTAGTGGGGTGCGCGTGATGCCATCTTAAACCCAGAATACATTCATTCGTTTGTATTATCTATCGTCTGTCCGCAATGGCAAACAAGGAAGATTGTTAGTGATATCCTTTTGTTTTTATGTCACTGTGATGTTCCTTTGGGTCATAAGCATGTTATGCAAGGTTTTGAGTTGCTACGTCAGCACAAGAATGATATTGGTATTTTTGATTCCTGGCTTAAGGATTTCGAAAACACTTTGGACGGTAAACGTAAAATCAGTAGAAGTGGCTCAGTTGACGATTATCAAAAGTTGGGTGTCTACGTACCTCCAGATAACCATATTGTTGATTATGCGGTAAGTCTGAATAATCGTCTTTTTATGTGTTTTATTAAATTGTGTATTATATAGTTATCCAACCTTGGTCTTATCAATTCATTAGTCTATATACCAACCGAGGTTACTGAACGCGTCTACCTTCGCAGCCAGTTCAAAGCTTCTGGCTTAGATCGCATTTTTAGCAAATTGGAGCGACTTGATGATCCAGCAGTATACGATCAAATAGAAAAGTATCGTAGAAGAGCAGATAGTGACTTGGAAGAGGCTTTTGGTGATGAGATATCAATGTACAGTGAAGTCTCTCAGCCGACTGAGTTACTGGAGCTTATACTCGATAATATTGCTGATGCTCCAAATGCTCTTCATTATTTACTTCAAACATTTAGAAGTATGCTCTTGATTAAAGGTGATGCGGATAGAAAGTAAGTATCATGAAAAAGAGACAAGGCTTGGCATTAACTTGATTACAGGACACATTACCATCAAGCCATTAGTGAAATTGTGTCAAATATTGTTATGGATCGCAGAGATACTGTAACAGTTGAGGAACTTGGAGCATCGGCGTTTGGCATTTCCGTTAATAATATGATTGGAAAATTCAATGAACTCGATCGACTACAGGAGATAGCAAGGTCGGCAGAAGAGGATAAAGAGACAGCGATACGATTAACGGCAGAAAATAAAGAACTTCGACAGCAAATTGAGGACTTGAAAGCCGAGAAGCCTCCTGCTGTTAAACTTCATGATACAAGAAATTATAAAATGGAAAATGTTGCTATACGTACTTTATTACAGCAGTCTAATAAGACGATTGCCATGCTTCAAGAAAAACTTCGTGAAAAGACTGAACAGCTCGAAAGTTATGAATACGGAAGTCAGGCCTCTGACACATCATCACAGACTACTGCACCTATTGTTGTAGGGGATCAATGGAAATGGGCTGGTAGAAGAGGTGATTCAATTACGCCCCTGGATCCTGTATCTCCACAAATACCATTAAGAGGTGCACAGGTGCCACACCCACCATATGCCCAGAATAACATTCTATCATCTCCTGGGCCTGGAGGATTTGTCATACCTGGTACGGTTCCTTCACATCCCACCAAAGATCAACAGTATACCGTAACCGAGCAAGGCACAGCATCAGGTATTAGGATATCACCCCATAGCTCTTAAAATACTAAAGAATTGAACAGATGTTCCGAGCTCACCAATGCCTTCTCAGCACAAGACACCAGACAAAAATGAATGTAAGTACAAACTTGTGGATTTGTAAAACACAGAGAGGTTAACCATTTCTGGTAGTTGACAGCAAAGCGCAGGCCGCATATGCTGAATCACCAGAACCACAAGCTGCTAGTGATGCACAAGCAACTTCTGAAAGTAAGTGAAAACTGATCTCTGATGAGTTACCAAATCTTATCATTATTTAGCTGATTCAGTACCTCCGCCTCCCCCGCCACCCCCTATGCCACGTAAGATATAGCATCTATTCATTCTTTTCTTGTAGTATAGTAACAACTTCTTCAGCCATAGCATCCATGTCTACTGAATCGCCTATTCCTCCTCCCCCGCCACCACCAGGTAAACGTCATAACTGTTCCTCTGGTAGAACAAACTGATAATAATTATCTTCAATTTTCAACAGGAACGGCTGGTATTCCACCCCCACCACCACGTAGGTTGATTATTAAGAAGCAATATCCTTTAAATATTAAATGTTGTGCTTTAGCGCCTGGATCTACTGGCATTCCTGCACCGCCACCGCCACCACCACCTCGTAAGTAACAGGTTAACCTATTGACAGAAACACTGATATTTACTTTCTCAATGAACAGCTCCTGGCTCTGGTATACTCCCTCCCCCTCCGCCACGTAAGTTTTAGAAAATCATGAAATACCAGCCTTAACTCACCTATAATCAAAGCACCTGGAGGACCAGGCATCCCTCCTCCTCCTCCTCCACGTAAGTTTTACAATATCATGTGGTATTAATCCTAACTCACTTATAACCAAAGCACCTGGAGGACCAGGTATTCCTCCTCCTCCTCCACGTAAGTGCTTATTTTTATACAAGTATACCTCTATTCAACTTTTTTTTTCTTTTTTTAAAAAAAAGCCCCTGGTGCACCAAAGGGACCTATGCTACCAGCTGTTCCCAAAGGACCTGCGCGTAAAGAGCTTCGTCACTATCCACAAATCAAGCTCAAAAACTTGCAGTGGCAGAAGTTGGATGCTCGTAGCGTCGACAAGACAGTTTGGACATTAAGTGATGTAGACGAAAGCCAGATTGAGGATGATTTGGATAAATACGGTGTGTTTGAAAGGATCGAGACGTTATTCCCAGCTAAGGCAAACAACTTTTTTGAAAAGAGAATGAAGGCAAAGGTGGAAGAAAAGAAGGATGCTGTCAAGTTCTTGTCCAAAGAGAAGAGCAGAAATATCAGTAAGCATCATAGTTAAGTATGTGTATGAGTCTGACCATAGATAGACCTGGCTGTTTTGCCCAAGTGCAAAGCATTTGATACGTTTGTTGATGTCCGTAAGAGTATCATGGGAGTAGATGATGATCTCTGTACAGAAACTTTCCTTGGTAATCTTATTAGTTACCTACCTACAAAAGATGACAAATTGGATGTGATGAAGAAATATCTGGAAGGACCGCCTGAAGCATGTGAAGAATTGGATACTCCTGAACAGTTTACAGTTGAGGTAGTACCAAATACCCCTGTAATTATTGAACGGATACTGACGGCTTATATAGATGCATAGGATGTATAGATATGAACAGCGTATACAGTTTATGCTATTCAGAGTTCAATTCTGGGAAAGATTTGATCAGTTGGAGAAGGTATGTAGATGCAAACAATACCAATGGTGACGACTCAAATTTGCCTTCAAAAAAGAATATGGCAATAGTGATAGAAATTTCTGATGCTTTGAAGAATTCAAAGAGCCTCAAAAGCTTACTTTGTGTACGTGTATATACATATCTGAGAGATGAAGTTGATATTTTAATGCACCTTTTATATAGCTTATCCTTGTTATTGGTAATTACATGAATGCACAAAGTCTTCAAGGTGGTGCGTTTGGTATGCGTATTTCAAGTATCAATAAGGTAATTAAAAACATTATATAGCGTGATCCTTTTTATATAACTTTTCCCTTCAAGTTGGTGGACACTAAAGCATCAAATACATCATCGTTAAACTTATTACATGTGGTCACTGGCGTGGTTAGACGCCAGTTCCCTCATCTATTGGAGTTTCTGATAGACTTGAAGTCTATTGATCAAGCGGCTAGAAGTAAGGAGACATGATATGAATAGAGTTGAAATTGAGCATGGTTTTATGATATAGTCATGGCTAGTTTGAATGATATGGTTCAACAGTATACAGAAATGAGAAAAGGATTAAAGGACCTTGATCTCGAATTGAAAACAAGGTGGCAGCCTGAAGACGTAGAGCTAGAAGAAGATGATAAGTTCCGTAATATCATGACAAAGCATTACGAGGATGCTTCGACTCGCTTCCAAGATCTTGAAGCACTCTATGTGAATATGGATGCTAAATGGAAAGACGTGATGACTTACTATGGTGAAAATCCTAAAGTGATGAGACCGGATGACTTTTTTTCAACTTTTTCTCGGTTTGTAGCATCTTGGAAGGTAAATTGCATTTGAGCAACATCATAAAAAGGCTAAGAGTATGATGATAGGAAGCATCTGCTGCAGAAGAAAAGATGGCACAAAGACAAGAGCGCGAAGAGAAGAAAAGGCGCGAGGAAGAAGAAAGAAAGGAGCGTATGAGACTAAAGAAAGAAAAGGCAGAAGCAGCTCTTAAAGAAAAGAGAGGCCCGATTGAAGGAATTGATACAAGTAAGATTTGTAAATATGGATCAGACTGTACATCTAACAATTCTTTTTAGGCGGCGAAGGAGAAAATGATAGATGTATGATGGACAGCTTGTTGGATAAATTAAGAACTGGAGATGTGGAAGTACGCACTACTAGAAGACGTAGCAGAAAGCAAAGAGAAGAACAAGATAGCAGTGAAGCTAGTAGTGTGTCCGCTGCAGATTTATTAAAGAACTTGGAATCAGTGTAGATTCCCAATTTTGATGTCAGTAATCTATTGTAAACCCTAATATCAATAAAAAATAGCAGATACCACACTAGTCACATGATTTGATTGCCTTTTTAATGCTTTTTTTCCGAATCGAACATCGAACCTGTGCGACAAGCACTTGGTTCCTGAAAGTGCATGAGCTTTCTTTCCTTTCTTTTCGAGTATAAAAATTTCCCTTTTCTCATCGCATTAAGCGTTTCTTTTCTTTACTCATCGTATAAACATTTTGAAATAATTTGGTATGTGATGTTTCTTTTGATTCGAGTATGCCTGCTAACATTGTCGCTCATTAGAACAATGGAAAACAATACTTCTAGAACAACTATATGCTCCTCCTGTGTTGAGACATTACCAGCAGATTCACGTTATCGCACCTGCCAAGCGTGTAGAGAAAGAGTTGCAGCATCACGCCGCAGATGTCAAGCTGAACAAGAAGAGCAGGAAGGCAGCCCAGTAAGACGTAGGGGAAGACCTAGAGTAGAACCTTCTCAGACTATTCCTGCTGCCTATATCTCGCAGCTTTCTCGCCTTCGTCTTTTGGACCTTGGACGTATGGACAAGGAATGCTCACACTGTCACGCCTTACACTGGATTGATGAAAGGCAAGAGACATCTTCGATGAGATATCCTAGCTGGGAGTCATGTTGCAAGCAAGGATCAGTCCAGTTGCAACTATTACCTGATCTACCTGAGTACTTGAAGGACTTGCTCGAACGTACGGACACTCAAGGCCGTCACTTTAAGGACAACCTTCGCCAGTACAACGCTGCCTTTGCCTTTACTTCGCTGGGCTGCGATATTGTTTCGCCTGAGGATCGTGCCAAAGCAGCAACAGCAACAACGATAACAATAGAGATGGCTTAACTGCTTTTCAGATCCATAGTGCACTTTGCCACCGTCAAGGCCCCTTGATTCCAGTTGAGGGCAGTGAGCCTTCCTATACCCAGCTGCATATCTTTGGTCCATGCTATGCCGCTGAACGAAGACAAGCACGAAACAGCAATCTTGATCCTGAGATTATTAGGGAGCTTTCAGTCATGCTTGCCTAATGTAATCCCTTTGTACGTGTATATCCTCATACACATGAGATATTGAACAACCATGAGAGCGACAGTAATAATAATCAAACAGAAGCTAATACACGATACATGTTATCAGTCCTTCTATGAGAATGCGTTTGATTGAGGGAGATGACAGACGTATTCAGAATTTGCCGATAATGGAGGAAGTTGTCGTTGTTACCCAAATTGAGTATAATGACAGAGGCTTCCGTGGCATCGTTCTTACCTTGAGAAGCAGCAATAACAATGATAATCTTCGTCAAGGACGTGATTTTAAGTAAAGCTTTTAACTTATCGTCCAGACACAAGGTGCATGTATGCCAACTCACTATGTATTGCTATTTCCTCATGAAACATGTGGGTGGTATTAAGGCTTGTGCCTCTTCTTTTCCTTCTTTACCCTTACTTCGGTCACTGTTCCTGATAATTATGATGATGACTCATGGCCATCGTGCGTCATTTTAGTATCCTTATCAATCATTTTTATAAAGATAATTACTTTGATCGTCAGTTTTTAATAGAAGTAGATCGCTGTAAGATATACAGTGCGTCAAAAGCAGAGAGATTTTCATTCTAGGATAAATTTTATTGTTAAGTAAAACATCGTTAAATAAAATGCTGTCAATCATTAGTTAATATTACGAGGCTATCCGCAGCTACTTTTCCTTTTTTTTCTTTTCTTTACTTCAATATGAAACGAAAGATGACAACCCTCCGCCTCCAAAGGCAAAGCGAAACAAAAGGAAAGATATGTAATCTATAAAGTTGACGTCACATATATTAAGGCTCCATTAGCCGTCGATCGTGGGTTCCCTTCTTTGTTTTCACAAACACAAACAAATTTAGTCAAGAATACAACTTTTGAAGCAAGCGATAATGACTATCAAGGCACTCTATTACCTAGAAAAGATAAAAATAACATCTATTAGTTTCATCTGTTTTATAACTGAATGCTGTAATAGACAAGAACATCTGTGCTACTTTGAAAGCTGTTAAAGAAAACACATCTGCTCCTGGTCCCTCAAATGTTGTCATTAATGAAAAGACATCTATGCCTACAGTCAACAAAGATGCGAGTGTTCAAGATGTATTATCTGCTCCTATTCCTTCCACTGGCTGCGTTTCTGCTCCCATCAAGGCTCTAAGAAATATCAAGACAAGGTTGATAAGGCTGAAGCACTTAAAAAGGAGAAAGAAAAGAATGAGGCGTCAAATAATGAGTAAAAACAAGTACAATGTCCTTCTTGTGGTGGAACTGATCACTCTCGCTCCTCCAGCAAGCTTTGTCCTATGAATAAGTTAAAAACGAAACTTCCAAAGCTCAAGGATACCGTCGAGAAAACTTCTGTGATCAAGACATATTTGGCTAATACTTGCAAATATCCCAAGTCCGTTACTTTGATTCAAGAAGTAGTTGATCACATTACTCAACTGGTATACGCTGGATCCATTTTTGCTAATCTCTATTCCTTGGAACTTCTCGAGAATGATAAAGAACTACCTGTGGTTACTCAAAATCCATTCAACAGCATATTTTCCATCTTTATTGGCCAAGAAAAACATGCCTCTGATAATATCAAGAAGAGCTACAAGGCCTTTTGTGAATTTACTTCTCTTTCTCAATCTGACTTGGAAAAGTATGCAAATAAAGGATATATGACCATTGTATCTTCTATGGCCAAAAAATATGAAACACTGGTCTGCAATTATGTTTGCTCTACTTATGAAGATCGAGCTCTCAGGCATATCCTTAATGTCTTATCAGAAAAGGCTTCTTCTTACTTCTGTGGTGATAGCTTAACAGTCAAACAGCGCAAGTCTTTAGCCAAACATGTTTTTCAACAAAAGATAAATCCTAAGTCTGCCTAGCCATCCACTATTGACCGAATCGAACAATATGAAACCATTGTCAATAACTTTCTTACTTTCTGGTCAATGTACGATGCTTCCAATGATGCTGATGTACCAAGTGAAGCCAATCTGTATGCCAAGCCTCAATGATGCATGAAATGGTTACACTTTATACAGAAAGAAATGGAACAAAAGAATTTCGTTCAAGAACTGAAACATCAAGACAAAGCATCAAGCAGTTATGTCCATCGAAAGTTACAAGAACTTCCTTTTGTCAAGAAGTTGAATACAAGCAAGTACATATCATTAAAAGAAAACACACTGACCGCTATCAATTCCAACAAGCCCTTGGAAATAACAAGCAGGCTGAAGAACATTGATAAAAGGGATATTGATGCTGTCCAAAGCTTTATCAAAACAGTACAAGCAAGGATTCAAGACAAGACCTTCATGCCTCTCAAATACACTAAATCTCGAGGATCAAGATACTTTTCTCTATTTTCCCTGTACAGGATTGATTCTAAGAGTATACAGATTGATGCTCAATCTTTTTGAAAGCTTGTCAAACAATGTGACAACAAGATCAAACCAGGTCAAAAAATGATAATTACTTAACTTTATGGTACTTTAATGTCTTCGATTTTTCAAAAATAGGCTACAAGACACTTGATAGTTTGACCTCACGTCCAAAGAAGCTTGTGTACGTATGTTTACATGGCTTTTATTTTTAAACTAAAAAAATGCTATCATTGTAGAAACGTGATTACTACTAATGGCTATGCTGTATCCTTTATGTTTAAGAAAGTTGTCGCTATCCATGATGAACCTAGAAGAGAACCAAAGACACCCAAGGATTTTGCTGATATAGCTGACGACACAGAGATTTGGGCTGTTGATCCTGATATATCAGCTACCTTTACTGCAGTTGACTCTACAGAACATGCACTTATCTGAACTACAAGCTTGGAAGAATACTATCATCTATGTGGCTACAATCTTGCTACTAGAAGACGAAAAGAGCACCAAGAGTGTCGTTTAGACGAACTACCTACTTTAAAGACTGCAAACTTGATCTCATTTTTACTAGTTGCCTCTACACGTCTACAAAACTATCAAAGAATTCATAACTACTATTGTCAAGATAAATTGTATGCCACTCCCTTACAAGTGTATATTTTAATAACGCTGCGTACGACATAGGTCTCAAAAGCTAAAGTTCAAAACTTATATCAACAAGCAAAAAGAAACTCAAGAAATTGTTAAAAGACTCTTTGGCAATAACAAAAATTATGGCACGTCAAGCAAAGCTGGAGCTAAAAACCAAAACCCAAACAAAAGCAAACATGTACCTCTATCTCCTGCTGACCTCCCTTCCTCCTCTCAACAGAAGCGAATCATTGCGTTCGGGAATGGTTCTTTTTGCTCAAGTATAAAAGGAAAACATGCTGCACCTACAAAACGTATTACTGAAGAAATCAAACTAAGATGCAAACAATCTACTGGGGGAAGGGATCGAGTTTGTTTCGGTTGACGAGTATTTAACGAGCCAGATCTGTAACAAGTGCAAATCCAAACAATTAAATAATATCTCAATTACTGGGTCAAAGCGAAGAGTACACTCTGTCCTCAAGTGTAAATCTTGTAGTACGGTTTGGAATCGCGATGTGAACAGTGCATTAGATATGTATAACATCTTTGTTTACAGATCAAAACATGACAATGAAAGCCCTCCCCCTTCAAAAGACTAACGGTTCTCCTGGATTTAATGCGCTGTCCATAGCGGCAGTGCATTCCTTAGCGCTTCGGTAAGTATAAAGCGAATAATACATTATGTTTTATTCATTAGTCTTCCAGTTATATAATATTAATTCCCATTGGTTGTGATTCACAAATTAACCCCACAGCAGTCATCTCTGAGTTTCAAGTGATGATCTATGCTTAAACATAGTTGTATGTCCTTTGAAGGGGAATAATTGAGATTGTATGAGCCCTTTCTATCTTTGATATTCATTCATGAATTACTTATAATAAAAAAAAAGGAGTGAAAGGGGACTCTTTTGCCTTTATAGAGTAAATGTAACTAACAGTTTTGATTGGACAGCATTAAATTCTGCTTTTCAAGTTTTTATTTTTTCTCCTTTTTTCTTTTTATAAAAAATCACAATAGGATTAAAAAGCATATTTACACATAATATACACTTTCTTTATCTCTTCTCTCCTCTCCTTTCTTTTTTTGAAGCCTTATTTTATAGCTTTGTTTGTTACTATTTTGTATCCATTTATTTTTTCTTTTCTTTGCCCCTTTCCTTTCCTTATAAGACATTATGACATCAGAATCAATAACAGACATGACAACGATAACATGTAGTGCTTGTCAACTGCCATTAGAAGGCAACTTTGCACGCGCCCTGGATGGTGCATTCCACTGGAACTGTTTTCTTTGCATTGTAAGTTTATTATTTTTTGCTTTTTATATATACTTGACACGTTTTTTATTATAGGATTGCAATGAACCCGTTGCAGAAAAGTTTTTTCCTATTGAATTAGAAGGCGGCATTCAGAAACCATTATGTGAACGAGATTACTTTAGACGACTAAGCCTTACTTGTGATAACTGTGGCGAAGCCCTCAGAGGCTCTTATATTACAGCAGTTGGCAAAAAGTTCCATTTAGAACACTTTTATTGTAGCGTTTGTTCTACTGTTTTTGGTCCAGATGACTCTTATTATGAACATGAAGACAACGTTTACTGTCATTATCATTATTCTATTAATTTTGCAATCAAATGTATAGGTTGTGAAACAGCCATTTTAAAGCAATTTGTCGAGATCAATAGAAATAATGTAGATGAACACTGGCATCCGGAATGCTACATGATTCATAAGGTAAGAGAATCATCTAGTCTTTATATCATACTCAACCATTTTGTAGTTTTGGAACGTAAAGTTGGCTCAGTCTGTGGGTGAAGAAGATCAAAAGTTAAATATAGGCAAGTAGTACTTCTTAAAAAGGAAATATTCTAGTTGCTAACAAAGAGGCTAGATCTCAGCAAAATGACTTCAGAGGAACTTAAAGAAGCTCAAAATGTGATGGAAGAAAAAGTGTATAGAATATGGACAGTGTTGTCAGCATTTGAAGGTAAACCAGATCTTCATCTATGTTTTATATACCAACATATAGTTTAATAGAATCTGCTGCTGGTTGTATATCAGATATGCTTCTTCATGTCTCTGAGGGAAGTTATGCTGAAGGAGTTAAAATGGCCGATTATTTTGTCACACATGTTGAGGTCCTATTCAGTGCCATCGATGACCTTGCTATTCAATATTTGAAACAAACAAAGCAAGAACTCCAATATGACCGAGAATCAAGCATGCTCTGTAAAAAGGTATCTAACTTCTTTTCCTTATTGTCCCATACTCAGGAAAATGGCCTCCGAAAAATTGGTATCACGCAAGATTTACTTTCATTGGTAACTGGCTTAGCCCACTATTTGAAGGTCTTGATTCGAATTGGATTGACGGGCGCCTTGAGATTGGAAAGAAAGAATGACTGCAAATCGAGTGCGATCAGCCGATTCCTTAGTCAGCTGATGGAATTAGCAAACAAGAAGCGACAATATCTACATGAAGCAGATTATACTGTATCATCGGACCTTTGCCAATTCTGTAGAAAGCAATGTGAAGATGCTTGCTTCAGATACAAGACGTACATCTGGCATGATAAATGCTTTGCTTGCTCCTTATGTTGTACTCCCCAACGTTCAGATTATAAGGAAACTTATATCTCTCAAAAGGATTTATCTATCATTTGCAGCAAGTGTATCACACATACTGATGGTTTTGTTCAAGGTGTTCAATATGTATCAAAACTCAGACAATCATCCTTTTTGTTACGTTTTGCTTTGCGAAGATTATACAGTCTGTTGAATGTTCCAGGTAATTTAGACGCTTGTACTTGGAATACGTGTAACTTATATCTTATCAGATCCAATGATTGCTTATTATGGCCAAAGCTATGAACACACATCAACACAGTATCAGCAACAGCAACAGATACAGTCTATTCAACCTCAACAATTGCAACAACAGCAAAGGCTACTAATACAACAACAACAGCAACAGCAACAGCAACAGCAACAGCAGCAACAGCAACAACAGCAGCATCATCATCATCAAACAGCAATATATACTCCTCCTTTACCTCCCTTACCAAAGTATGTTAATGGAGACGATTTACCTAACGAGGAGATTCATTTGAATGATATCAAACGAATGAAATCAACTCATATGAACAGAAAGATCACCAATTCACACAGAATCGGAAAGAGATCAACTCTGATGGAAACTCCTATCCCCAATGCCGCTGCTGTTTCCAACAATATAGAGGAGTCCAGTCGCCCTCAAAGTCAAGGAACGGAAGCTTCCAACAAGCGAGCCTCATTCAACGAGCTGGGCAGTTTCTCCGAAAGCTCACACCACAGCAGACACCGATATACAAAATCCGTGCCTGAAGCAAAAAGCTTTTACTTTGCCGAACTTGGCGCACTGCAGCATTTTATGTTGAAACACATTGCAGTACTTTATTTGGAAGAAATACTGCATGACCACTTCACCTTAGAGGAACTTGCTGATTTAATTGATGATAAAAAGAATTCGACTCTTTGGGGTAAATTTGTGACCAGTCTGAAAGCAGGCGGAAATAAGAAAGTACCCAAGCCTAAAGGTAATAGTGTCTTTATCATCAAAAAGATGAGACTAATCGATTAGTAGAGGGGACGTTTGGTGTAGCTATAGATGTATTAGTAGAAAAGAATGGTATTGAATCCAACTTGGGCGTTGGTCCAACTCGAATCATCAAGATTCCATCATTTATTGATGAAAGCATTTCCAGTATGAAGCAAATGGATATGTCAGTCGAGGGCATTTTCAGAAAGAATGGTAATATTAGACGATTAAAGGAATTGAGCGATGAGATTGATAGGAATCCAAACAACGTGAATTTGGCCAATGAGTCACCTATCCAAGTCGCTGCTCTGATAAAGAAATTCTTGCGTGAATTGCCTGATCCGCTGTTAACCTTCAAATTGCATAAACTATTCATTACTGCTCAAAGTAAAGTAAAATGTCATATTTAACACCTGTTGCTCACTTTATTATAGAACTCGAAAATGAAGCTGATCGGAAACGAGTGACTCATTTGGCTTGCTGCATTTTACCAAAAGCAAATCGTGATACGATGGAAGTCTTGTTTGTCTTTATGAAATGGGTCTCTCAATTTGCTCAGTTGGAAAACAATACCGGAAGTAAAATGGACATTGTGAATTTGGCGACTGTGCTAGCCCCCAACATCTTGTACTCAAAAAGTAAAGACCCTGCAATGGATGAATCCTTTTATGCTATAGAAACGGTAACCATGCTACTCGAAAATGCCGAAGAGTTTGCGACTGTACCAGAGGATTTTATCCCACTTTTACAAAACTTATCTTATGAAGAAGGTGATATGGATATGAATGTTCGACACATTTTGAAAAAGTGCGAAATGGTCATGAAGATGAAGCGAGCTAAAGCCACAGGGGGACCTATTGCGCCTCAACTTCCAAGACAGCATTCTTCTCCAGCCGCGGTATCCAGCAACAGTATTCACCAAGAAGGAGAACTATCTCATATGCCCATTCAATTATCCTCTTCACCACAAAACATGTCAACTATGGAATCCCATGTGAGATCACCGAATACGCCAGTGCCTATCATGAGATCGCAATCCTCATCACACATCGTTGGCACAAGTTACGAGTAAAATTTCTCATTTTTATAAATATACCTTATTCAGAAACTATTCGCATACAATTTAAAACCAATAATAACAATTACACTTTGGCTGGTTATCAATCTTTTATTATTTAAAAGATAGCATGTAATATTAATAATATGAGAAATATAAAAAGAGGAGACTTGTATATGTGGTCAACACTTGTGAATAACACGTAATTGAAAAGTTGCTAGGGACCTTGTATAAATAGTCTGACCTTGACTTCTTTTTCTTTTTCTTTGGACCAAAAAGTAAGACCAGCTATTCCACAGCTAGCCCTAAAGTATGTTATATTATTTACTCTTGCAAGAAATTGACGTGCAGTATTATAGATCATAATCAAACCTAACCCGGTGTTAGTTGGGGACAGTTTAGTCCTTACCAAACTTTGGCCCCACACACTCCTTTGACCCTCTTCTGTTCCTTTGACTGCTCTTTTGCTCTCTCTTTCTCGCTTTTTTTTATGTTTCCGAGTCAGTTATTGCTAGCTCAATTCAAGATGCACTTCGAATAAGGTATTATATTGATATTAAATGCTTACATTAAAAAAGAGTTTATAAGAGAAAAAGAAAAGCAAGAAAAGTGAGTAAGCTTATAAAGAAATTATTAATAACTGATTTACTAACCATTTCTTTTATATCTCATTCTTTTACTTCTGGTGGGCTCTTTTCTATCATTTGTTGTCTTATTTATTGTCTCAAATTATCATTTTTCTATCAGCGTGCGAATTAAGTGTATGCTCATTTCGTATAAATTTTAAGCTTTCAAGGGGAATCAGAGTACTGTTTTATTAAAGCTCTTCATGAACAATTGATTTCTTTGGTTGCTGCTCTATCTCTTGACAGACAGCAGGAGATGTGACACGGTACAAATACTCGCATTTTTCGGGTTCTGATACCTCCAATATTTCATTTTTAACTCCACAGTCAATAATGGCCATTACGCTTCTTTCAGGGCCGTTCCAGCAGCGTGTACCTTGGGTATGACTATGTCTTTTGTATTTATCATCACCGTCTCCAGTAAATTCATTGAATTTTCCCAAGTGGACACGAGTATGGTCTTTGTTACTCTTTTGATAGGCATCACCCAAGAAGCAAAGTGAATAGGTATATCTATATTCAGTTAAGATCATTGTACTATGGACTAAATACCTCACTTACTCTCCTTCATTTTTTTCAATGCAGACATCCTTGAGTTTCAGCCATTCTTTTTCTTTACCATAGTCAAAGTTCAGTTCCTCATTAACTTTTTCTAGATCAGAGCTTAACTGGTTTACTTCAGATTGCGCATCTTCATATGCTTTACGTGCTTTGTCTATGTCTAAATAAAGCGGGTCAATATTCAACTGTTATCATTTTTCCCCCAGCTCTCTTTTTTTTTTTTTTTCTTTTGCAAAAAGAATGTTGAGCGCACCTCCTTCATTATGACTGAAACCAGTATAATCTTTACTGGCTTCCTTGCGTGGAAGCAATTTATCCAGGACATTTGTTTTTACAATGTCTGGAAGAATAGCTTCCAACTTTTTTAAAACAGTATCCACCGATGAGTTCTTACCTAATGGGCTCAACGTTCAATTTGACCCTTCTCCTCTCTTATATGAAATATAAATTACCTTGGTTATCATCACTTTCTCCACTATCGGATTCAATTTCATTGTCTTCAAACTGACTTTCTTTACTTTCAACCTCTTTGATATCTACTTCTATTTCCTCTCTTAGTTGGGCGTACCGAGTCATAAACTCATCATAGCCGGATATGGCGCTCTTGACAGCCATGTCGTGAAAATTGTGATTATGATCTCGTTTCATATCATGTAAAATAGTCTTCAATGTCTCCAGTTCGCTCATCAGGGCCGATATATCATGTTTGAGGGTCACCAATTCTTGAATACACGAAGGGCATTTCTTCCTTAACTTGCTTCTCTGCTCATTTTCAGACTCTAGCGCATTTAATTCGCGTTCAAGCTTCATCACAAACGATTTTTTTATGATAAGCTCATCTTCAAGCTTGGACTTTTCTTCTTCCCAAAGAGATACTTGCTTTTCTGCCTCATCCACAAGCTGTTGCTTAGCGGCTAAACCTTGTTGGATTGCTTTTTGTAACACCTCCTGTTTCTTTCGATAGGCCTCTCCAACTTCTTTACAACGGTTAGGACAGTCTGTAAGTCCAGTGCTTTCATCAGAGCCATCACAGCATGCTTCATCGCATACACCATCATTAACAAAATACGATTTGATATAATCTGAGATATGTCCTTTGTTTTCACAATAGAAATAAGAATTGGGGCAAGCGGATGTGCCTTGATGGGATTGCGCTTTAAAACAAGTCCAGCTCATTTTAATAAGAATTTATACCTGGCTCATCGGATCCATCTGGGCAATCACAATAGTCGTCATTAATAGCAGAGTACAGAATGACCTTGGAGCTATCTAAGCATTTCCAAGTGCCATCACTTGATGGCTTGTAAAGAGACTGGTCTGTTATTTTAAAGAGTTGGCCAATGTCATGCTAATGTTGATAAAGCTTTTTTTTTTCTTACTTTCAGGCGCAATTCCTTTAATGCTAGATGATTTTACAATGGTAATAGCAGCAACAATGCACAGTAACTGTAGCCTAAACAATGCCATTAGAAACTTAAAGAACTTTAAGAACGCGGTTTGCTTGAATCATATAAATCTGAGTTCGAATTAATTACTATCTGTTCATCTATTCCTCTGTCTTTCCAGCACTGCTAGTTGGTTTTATCCTCTGTGTTCAACGAGCCAGAAAGTAAACGATTGCATCACCGCCTGTCATTTATTTTATTGAACTTGTTTGGAGAATTTTTAGATTATCATTATAGGCATGGTATCTGTTACTAGTCAAAGATGATACGTTTCAACGTTAACAAAAATGTTTAGTTACAGTTTTCGCACTTTTAAATTCAGACATAGTTAATACAACTTACGCTGTAAGGACGTATGAGAGAGTCATATCAGTCATACGGAAGGTTGGTCATCAGATGTACCTTGACGCATGAAAACATCAAGACGCTGATTATTGTTTCTTGCAGCGAATAGAAACATGTCCAAGATATTGTGTGCAGCCATGATATCACGATTCCATACGATGTTGCAAGTGTTTTGTTTACACTTCAATATCGTATGTACTCTTCGTTT